GAAACCAAATTGGACGAACGGTTCTGGCAGAATTTTCTGCTATTGCAGATTTCCAGAAACATCAAATTCAACCCTTTCTTCCCAGATTTTACCCAGATTTGCATCATACAAAGCATATACAATCAATCAAACAAAAGATCTAGCTCCCCTTACCTCTGGGCTACTCTCCCAAGGGTGTATCACGCAAGTTTTGGTCCGGTACAAACTTTTTCAGATCCAAGTGGGGTTTCTTCTTCATCTAGTCAGAACACGGAAAACTGGGAGTTGCTTCTTCATCATCCGTGGCAGCCATCAGCCCTCGACGAGACCAGCCCGTCGTGCGTCCTCTTGCCGGCCGAGAATCGCCAGCGTCTTCATCTATGCTGGAAGCAAAGTCGCACTTCCACCGTTTCTCCACCACCACGATATCCACCCCCTTTTTCTCCATCTCCGCCAAACCGGCCACCGTGCCACTGAACCAGCCACCGCGATCCGACCTCCGCGTCACTGCTTCTTCGATCCTCCACGGCAACCCAGAGAGGGGTTTCACCTCCGCCGCACCTGCATATGGCCACCGCCTACCTTGAAGTATCTACAGGATACTGGTTTGGTCGTGTGAATGATGACGGTTGAGGGTGAGGGAAGTCGAGACTGGGTTACGGTTGAAGGTGGAGATGTTAGAGATGACGAAGAAAAAGGATGAATATAGGGTGATGAGAAAGTTGAAGATGATGCGGATGATGGGGTTGAGTGTTGGGGAAATTGGGATATGGAGTTGGGGCATTAGGGTAGGGTGGTTGAGATGTTGGGGAAGAAGTGTTTGGATGTTTTGGAATGTAGGGAGGCTCGAAAATGGAAGAAGGGGCAGTGGATGATAGTGTGGAAAAGTAAGGATGTTGGGAAGTAGGAGATGGAGATTTGGGTGGTGGTGGCACACGAGGTGTTTGAGAAAAATGGAGATGGTGCTAAACTTCCTCAAATCAGCCCCCCAATAATTGCACCCCAATAATGAAAAAGGTGGGTGACCACCGTGTCCCCATCACTCCTAAAATTACGGATTCTTACAAAGCATGCCTAACACTTACTTTTCGGACTCTGTTTTAAGAAAATGTTATAATTATATATATCATTATGCATGTATGGCTTTTTATCTTTTGAAATGTTACATTTACTCATGAATGTTAACACACTAACTATGTTTTCTTTTTTCAAAAGTCACGATTTTGTTTTAGGATCGCTGAACCTAATGCACAACAATATTGCAAATTAACTCTTGGTAGAAAGTGGGTTGCACATATGCAGAATTTGTGGAATGAGTTTTATGATCCAATGAAAAACAAAGATCAAATCATAAGTAATGTGTCAACTGGTATAGAAAGAACTTAATAGGCTCATTCCGTTACTTATCGTCTAAATCCAGAAACACTGGTACAAATTTAATTATTTTGAATGGTGTGAATTGTTTGTGTAGAAAAAGATAGGCCTTATTTCCTAACCAAGAAGGGGAGGCGAATTGGTTCTGTATTAAAAATTGTTCTTTTCAAAACCTTTGGAAAATCTTTAACCCTTTCTTGAAACACAAGCAAATAAAGATTGTAATGCAATAAAAGAGATAAGGGATAAAAAGACAAACACTAAGATTTTTATACTAGTTCAGCCTCAATGCCTATATTCAGTCCTCTTTCAATCAACCTGAGATTGAAAGTCACTTCACTATATAGATTGAGTTATACAACAAGAATTACAGAGACCCTCTCTCAATGCAATCTCCTCTCTAACTCCAAATCTAATATAGAAGAAACAACACAGAAAGAACAATCCTCTTTCTGCAGAAACCCTTTTAGACAACCCTCAAAGAAACCAGAACCTCACGTTCTCTTCTTGGCCACCGACAATAGAGAAACCACAATCCACAGATTGCAAAATCAACACTGACCTGATTCAGAACACCTAATAGTGTGGATGATGATCAGCAAATGTAAGCACACAACAATTCTTTCAAGAATCCTTTGAATCTTCCAAACTAAATGCTTCTTGATTCTTGGAGAATGAGCATCCCTACAAATTCTTATCTCAACTCACTTTGTGAGATATTAACGATGAAATTTCAAAATTACTTTATGCATAGAGTTATGCGTTAATATATAGTTTTCTCAAGTCTGGCGCATCTTAATCGATTTCAATATTAATAAAATCGGTTAAACAATTAACACTACTATACCAGAATTACATTAAAACATATTTAACAGATTACACATTTAATTTAATCAATTTCACAATTAATATAAGTCAAAACAATTCAAAATATAACTGTTATGGTAGTTAAGACTTATCATGAAAACAGTTTTTAGTGTGCATGAGATTTAACAAATTAAGAAAATCGTGTAATCGGTTAAGTATAACACTAAAACAATTTTGAAAACTTTTCATTTGAAAACACATCATTGCACTCAACAAACAAGTATAAGTAAAGGCACAAATTTAATCGATTATACATACAATGTAATCAGTTAAAACTTGTAGTTTGTCACAGTTAAGCATTTGTTGATATATGATGAATCTAATTGATTACATAAACACTTTAATCGATTAATTCATTCATATATGCTTTGTGCAAAGAGTTTTATCATTCAAAACCATGAATATGCATACCACAAATATAAACTCATGTATAACAACAGTAAGTATGCAAAACAAATAGTTCAAGCACAAACAAACATATAAACGCAGCTTTGCATATTAAAATATTTCTATTGTTGTGCAAGTAACTTATTGATGTTGTTGGTAAAGTGTTAGGCCTAGAGCATTTTGGGAGAGTACGATGCATGGGTTTGGGAACAAGTCCTACTAATTCATTTAGAAATACAAGACTTTGACTTTCATATTTAAGTCTTGCTTCATATACCACAGTCCCATCATCATCTTCTAATCAATGGCAACAAAAGTAAAACAATGTAGAATCTCAGGTTCAAACAACCTTAGGTGCACTTAAAGCATACATGATAATGAAGGAAGGAAAGATTCTTGAAGAATTAACCTCATTCTTTGATCATCAACCTCAAGTAAGTTACTAATATAGTTGAAGCATTATATTTGATATACTTTAATTATACGCAGTCCTTACAACTTTTAATATTTTTGTTTTATCATTTCAGGAAGGTGGTGATGAAAATGAGCCCGAGTCTCCTTTGGGTACAATAGGATCATCTTGTGCTAGCAACATTTAGGGAGTTCATGATGTCTTTTAGAATGAAACTATATTTAGTCTATGAATTTTGAGTAATTATGAATTTAGTTGTAATTATGTTTCAATTTAACTTACTTTTATATACTATGGTGTATTTTAGAATTGAATGTGTTAATGATATATAATTAAACACTTTGGTAAAAGAAGTTTGTCATGCTTTTTTTGTCTTCATTCCAAAATTTCAATCTTGTTACAAATAAATATTGTTGACAAAAATATAAACATCTCAATGGTGAAATTGTCATGTAAGACAAGAAAACTAAAGTAGTATAAACTCAAAAGCTAAATAATACAAATGAGGCGGCATAAAACCTTTAAATTGTAATTGTCAAATTGAATAGGGTATAACACACAAAAATTGAGAAAAGCAGGGTTAGTCTTTGCAGTAAAATAGATGAAAATAAAGGAGGTGTCAAACCTCTACAAAATAATAGTCATTAATGGAAGATGTTAAAACCCTCCACAAAAAGACCTCCACAATATAAATCAGGGACCATTAAAAACCTCCGCAAATTAATATCTACGACTCTAAGTGTGGGAGTTTGAAAAATCCCTGGAAATTAATTTGCGAGGGTAAAAACCTCCACAAAATGGAAAAAAAACCTCCACTAAATAACAATTTTTTTGTAGTGTGTTAGTGTCATTTATCTATCTAGTAATCATGTGCAACATCAACAAACAAAATATATTTGAGATGGATATTCACTTTGTTCGGGATAAGGTAGCACGTGGTCATACACAAGTTTTTCATGTCCCTAACATCTTCTCCAAAGACTTATCTCGAATTCTTTTTTGTAATTTCCATACCATTATGTGCGAGTGGGATAAAATTCAAATTATTCTTTTAAAATTAAATCAATTAGTAATTAATCTTCTATGATTAAGTTAATCAAATCCCTATAATTAGATTATTAAATATTCTGTATAATTATATTCCTAATTTAAATGATACTTATGTATATATAATCTATCTTGAATAAATAATGAGACACACTATTCAAATTATTTTTCTTTCTTACAATGCCATGAGAGCTAGTTGTATGCATGTTAGTTTTAAATGAATGGAAATTGTCTACCTCTGCTTCCTCTAAGACCATCTAATATGACAATAGTTGCATTGTTGCAAGCTTTATTCTTTGTCCTCCTCACCTTTTGCTTTATCCATTCATTTCTAAATTGCACGGTGGAAACCATTGAAGTTACAAGACCTAGCACAATAAGAAATAATTAAGGAGAAACTTAAAAAACCTATAAGCAAAGGGTTACAAGTATCTAAACCCTTCCTACTCTTTCACTGTGAGTTAGCAATGGAATTTGCTTTCCCAAGAGCATGAAAGAACCTTTCAACTTTTCTGTTTGTCGTTGAGGCTTTAAACTTTTTATCACGCTCAACAATAAATTCTAATCAAATATAAACTCAGATTTAAATTAAAAATTTTGAAACGCTTTTCCCTACCACGTCCAGTTTCAATAGAATTTTTCACTGCGAGGCTGTTTATAGATCACAGGATTCAATTCAACAAACTGAATGCATGTGCATAATCCGAACTTCAGAACTCAGATTCCATCTTGAACATGTTACAGTGTTGGAATTACAATTTTATTTTCATACCAGTCAAGCGAGAGAAGAAATTGGAATACGACAACGCCAATAATGGTCGAGTTAAAATTATGACCTCAAACATGTTTCTTTTACCGGAATAAAGGAATCGAAGTTCAAATTGGTAGCGACAAGAGAAGAAAAAAAAACGTAAAATAGAGGAGAAGATGGAAATTTGTAAAAAGCAAGTAACATTAAGTTGGATCGGATACACAAGATGATTCACATTATCTGAAGTACATTGCAATAACATATACTTCAACAAACAGAAATCTAAAACTCTCGAGGGCACAAGTCATTCTGTTGACGCTCACTTTCCGGGGACGAAGTTGGTGGCGTAGGCCCAGGCGTTGTTGTTGACTGGGTCAGCAAGGTGGTCAGCGAGGTTCTCCAATGGTCCCTTTCCGGTGACAATGGCCTGGACGAAGAACCCGAACATGGAGAACATGGCCAACCTACCGTTCTTGAGTTCCTTAACCTTGAGCTCAGCGAAAGCCTCTGGGTCGTCAGCTAGACCCAATGGGTCTAAGCTGCCACCGGGGTAAATGGGGTCAGTGACCTCACCGAGAGGTCCACCGGCAATACGGTAACCCTCAACGGCGCCCATGAGGATGACTTGGGTGGCCCAGATGGCGAGGATGCTCTGAGCGTGGATGAGGCTTGGGTTGCCCAAGTAGTCGAGCCCACCCTCGCTGAAGATCTGGGAACCAGCTTTGAACCACACGGCCTCGCCGAATTTCACGCCGTTGCGGGACAAGAGTTCGGGGAAGACGCAGCCCAAGGCTCCGAGCATGGCCCACCTGGAGTGGATGACTTCCAACTCACGGTTCCTGGCGAAGGTCTCTGGGTCAGCGGAAAGCCCAGCAGTGTCCCAACCGTAGTCACCTGGGAACTCGCCGGTGAGGTAGGACGGGGGCTCGCCGGAGAATGGGCCCAAGTACTTGACACGGTCTGGGCCGTACCATGGGCTTCCGGAGGAAACCTGCTTGGTGACGGTCTTCCTCATGCTGACCCTCCCGACTTCGGGGGCTGATGGGGCAAGCTTGACGGCCTTGCCAGCCAAGGAGGGGGATGAGAGTGCCATGGAGGAAGCAGCAGCCATTGTTCCAAAGAACTTTCCTTTTTCTTTGTGCTCTGTGCTTTGAGGTGTGGGAGTTGTGAATGGGTGGGGATGGTGGGTGAGGATTTATATGGTGGATGAAGTGGTTGAGCTCTTATCTATGGCTATCTAAAGCTACAATCTCATTGGGGGTTGAGATTGTGTTTGTACACTTGGCACTCTTTCAATCCACTAATGGGTTAGATTTTCTTATGTTTTTTCACCAATGTGGGACTTCCACGTATGATTCAGGATTCCACAAGATATTATTGCTCATTTCTTATTCATTTTGCAACTGACCTGGAAAATGGCTTCAACTATGTGGCCATCATTTGAGTTTGTGAGATATTTTTGGGTCCACATCCACTTTCGCTTGTGGCAAGGTGCATGCCAACCACAAATTTTGAATAGCAGACAGAGAAATTGTGAAAAGAACCAAGTGAAGGGTGATGGTAACGCGCGTCTATTCTCACCAAGGGCCAATTACATTACACGTCACATGAATTCAAACTAATTAATACGTGGTTCATTCACTACTTTTAATATAAATAATAATACGATCATTATACGGTAATAACTTTTTTTAATAATTTTTTTTCACATTAGACTATATTTGAAACAGAACAATTATAAACGGTTTTAAAAAATTATCAAACAAATTATTAAAAAAATATTTTCTATATTAATAAATAGTTTGTTTGATCTAAGTTTTCTTTAGACAATAAGAGAAATCTAAAATATAATAAGTTGATGAAATATGAGTGTTAATGGTTTGTTTGGAAAGTTTTATTCTGCGGCCATAAGCACTTTGGAACAACGGCACAAAGATTGTGCTCCACACATAAACACAGTTGTGCATGTTAGCAATGAATAGTTGATACTTTTACCATGTTCCATTTTACAGTTGATTTAGCTGATATTCACAGCTTATCCCAAATCTAAAATGGCAGCTTCTTATTGGATGGAAGAGGCTTTTTGTAATATTTCTTTAGATAGATAAACTCTTGAGGGAAAAAGGCAAAAACTAAGTGATAGAAATCTCTAAGAGTCACAGTTGGCCAAATGGAATATGGTTTATCTGTTAACGGATATTATTGCGACGTGAAGGTCTACCAAATGCATTCAAATAATGTTTCATTACTCTATCTCTTTCATATACTTATCACTTACCATTTCAACGCCTACTTTTATATAACTTTTTTTCCTCTTAAATTTGTATACTCTCTTTATAAATAAACATGGGTTTAATTCGTCTCTTTTTATGTTTCTTTTTTAAACACATTGTATAAATCATAATATTGAGGGGATAGAATTAGAACTGAGTACTTGGTATAACTAATTTTGAAAAATGAAATGAAATTTAAAATTTAAAATTTGACGATGTCGCTGTTCTATATTCTATTCATTTTTTATTTCATTTAATTAAATACATTTAATTTACTTACTTTTTCTCGTATATTTTTATTTTCATTTACCTTGTTTCTCCCCGTTTCTATAACAAAACACTTACTTTTCTGAAGAAAAAAAAATTGAGAAAAATTTATAGCAATACGCAGAAAAATTTATAGATCTTTAAAGAGTCAAATAATATGGTAAACGTCTTAAGAACCAATTTTCTCCGAATATAAGCACTACTGCAAATAAAAATACTTATTTGACTCAATGGACTAGACAAAACTCATCACAAAATAAGTAATAAACACTTTTTCAATATCTAATTAATTATGATTTACAATTTCGGTTGGTTTCACTCGTTTAACGGACCATCTGTTCAAAACACACGCATACACACACATAATTAATATATATTATGTTTTTAAATTCTATTATTATTTTTGTACAAAATTATATATTATATACAAAGTTATATCGGTTAAATTTTCCATATTATCACTGTCTTTATCAAATGATTATTTTAAAGCAAGGACAAATGAATTGTGGTCATTCTTTATCTCTCACACAACAATATTTTGATTTTGATTTGATGATGGGTCAAATTAGAATTACACACGGAGTTTTTATAAAATATCATAAGCAATATTTTAATTAGATGATGGGTTAAATTAGAATTATTAAAGTTTGAAATGTAATTGATAGAAATTATATAATGATTTATGATCTTATTTATAGGAAAGGAAATATTACATACTTAGTGTGCTTGACAAGTGTCCAATATAAGTTAATTTTTGCATCATTTTGACATTTATCTTGTTTTGATTTTGTCAAATATCTACAGAAATCACCCTAATTTGACTTGTTTTGCAGATTTTGATGATTATTGAGAGTTAAAAGTGAAAAACAAAGGAAATGGAGGAAATTCAAGCTATTTTGGGAAAAACTGACTTTGACACGACTGAACAACAATCTTGAGGCTTGAACTACACGAGAAAACAAACTTTAGAGAGAAACCTCAATCACTGAACTTGAGGATAAGTGATAACGTTGTCGTTGACGCAACCAAATTGATACTATTAAACTATAGCAACTTTAGTATTTCTAAGATAATAGCCAATAAAATAGAAAGGGTAAATTCAACCATGAGTCATCTTCCAAGGAACACATAATTGATTTCTAACAAATTAGTTCTTTAAAAACTATACAACAAGGGTTAGTCAAATAAAAGTAATTCAAAGAAACTAAAAGATTAGAGAACAACGTAACAAAAGATAGAAAGAAATTTATAAAAAGATAAAAATAATTATAAAGAAAATAGGTTGATTTCACTGCTTTTTCAAAATAGGATTCATCAATGGTTATCTAAAGATTATTGTTCAATTAACTATTAACTTAGATTTTCAAATTAATCAATGTAAATTCTCAATTAATTTGTTAGCGTTCTCACTATTAACCAAAGTACATTCTTAGTTAAAAGCAAAAACTTTGAAGATTAGTCATAGTAAATTTAACCAAAGTACATTCTCAATTAAATATTACTATGTCTAATCATGTCTATTCTTTTACCTCTTATATCAAGTAAAAAGCTAATTAAACAAAGTACATTCTTGATTAATTCTTCTTAAAGTTTTTACCACTAATCAAAGTACATTCTCAATTGGTAGCAAAAACTCCTTCAATCACATGAAAGTTTCTAAATTTAATCAAATTAAATCCTCAATTAAAATTGAAAACCTTTGGACTCATATGATTGATATTTTACGTAGATTTAACATCATGCTTACTTGCTATAATGTAAAATCATNCAGCGAAAGCCTCTGGGTCGTCAGCGAGACCCAATGGGTCGAAGCTGCCACCGGGGTAAATGGGGTCAGTGACCTCACCGAGAGGTCCACCGGCAATACGGTAACCCTCAACGGCGCCCATGAGGATGACTTGGGTGGCCCAGATGGCGAGGATGCTCTGAGCGTGGATGAGGCTTGGGTTGCCCAAGTAGTCGAGCCCACCCTCGCTGAAGATCTGGGAACCAGCTTTGAACCACACGGCCTCGCCGAATTTCACGCCGTTGCGGGACAAGAGTTCGGGGAAGACGCAGCCCAAGGCTCCGAGCATGGCCCACCTGGAGTGGATGACTTCCAACTCACGGTTCCTGGCGAAGGTCTCTGGGTCAGCGGAAAGCCCAGCAGTGTCCCAACCGTAGTCACCTGGGAACTCGCCGGTGAGGTAGGACGGGGGCTCGCCGGAGAATGGGCCCAAGTACTTGACACGGTCTGGGCCGTACCATGGGCTTCCGGAGGAAACCTGCTTGGTGACGGTCTTCCTCATGCTGACCCTCCCGACTTCGGGGGCTGATGGGGCAAGCTTGACGGCCTTGCCAGCCAAGGAGGGGGATGAGAGTGCCATGGAGGAAGCAGCAGCCATTGTTCCAAAGAACTTTCCTTTTTCTTTGTGCTCTGTGCTTTGAGGTGTGGGAGTTGTGAATGGGTGGGGATGGTGGGTGAGGATTTATATGGTGGATGAAGTGGTTGAGCTCTTATCTATGGCTATCTAAAGCTACAATCTCATTGGGGGTTGAGATTGTGTTTGTACACTTGGCACTCTTTCAATCCACTAATGGGTTAGATTTTCTTATGTTTTTTCACCAATGTGGGACTTCCACGTATGATTCAGGATTCCACAAGATATTATTGCTCATTTCTTATTCATTTTGCAACTGACCTGGAAAATGGCTTCAACTATGTGGCCATCATTTGAGTTTGTGAGATATTTTTGGGTCCACATCCACTTTCGCTTGTGGCAAGGTGCATGCCAACCACAAATTTTGAATAGCAGACAGAGAAATTGTGAAAAGAACCAAGTGAAGGGTGATGGTAACGCGCGTCTATTCTCACCAAGGGCCAATTACATTACACGTCACATGAATTCAAACTAATTAATACGTGGTTCATTCACTACTTTTAATATAAATAATAATACGATCATTATACGGTAATAACTTTTTTTAATAATTTTTTTTCACATTAGACTATATTTGAAACAGAACAATTATAAACGGTTTTAAAAAATTATCAAACAAATTATTAAAAAAATATTTTCTATATTAATAAATAGTTTGTTTGATCTAAGTTTTCTTTAGACAATAAGAGAAATCTAAAATATAATAAGTTGATGAAATATGAGTGTTAATGGTTTGTTTGGAAAGTTTTATTCTGCGGCCATAAGCACTTTGGAACAACGGCACAAAGATTGTGCTCCACACATAAACACAGTTGTGCATGTTAGCAATGAATAGTTGATACTTTTACCATGTTCCATTTTACAGTTGATTTAGCTGATATTCACAGCTTATCCCAAATCTAAAATGGCAGCTTCTTATTGGATGGAAGAGGCTTTTTGTAATATTTCTTTAGATAGATAAACTCTTGAGGGAAAAAGGCAAAAACTAAGTGATAGAAATCTCTAAGAGTCACAGTTGGCCAAATGGAATATGGTTTATCTGTTAACGGATATTATTGCGACGTGAAGGTCTACCAAATGCATTCAAATAATGTTTCATTACTCTATCTCTTTCATATACTTATCACTTACCATTTCAACGCCTACTTTTATATAACTTTTTTTCCTCTTAAATTTGTATACTCTCTTTATAAATAAACATGGGTTTAATTCGTCTCTTTTTATG